ATTCTCTTTAATTCTAACCAAATTGTAAGCGCTCCTAAGGTCAAGCTTAGTAAATACTTTAGCTCCCTGAAGTCTATCGAACAATTCGGAAATGAGTGGAATAGGGTATGCATTTTTTACAGTGATTTTATTAAGTGCCCTGTAGTCTATGCAAGGGCGTAACTCACCACCCTTTTTCTCAACAAAAAAGAATCCTGCACCAGCTGGTGAGGATGACTTTCTTATGTGCCCTTTGCTCAAGGATTCTTTGATGTATTCCTCCATTATTTTACTCTCCTGGGGAGATAAGGCATAAACTGCCCCCTTAGGTGGCATAGCGCCTGGAAACAGGTTAATGGCACAGTCATATGCTCTGTGGGGAGGCAATACATCGGATTGAGCCTTGTTAAACACCTCCTGAAGTTCTCGGTATTGTATGGGAACTCCAGGAGTTTGGGGAGTGGTAGTGGGAAGGTCAATAGTATCCAATCTCTTTAGTACTGGTTTTATACATCTCCCCATACACTCTTTACCCCATTCTAATATCTCCCCATTAGCCCAGTCAATATAGGGATTGTGCTTACTCAGCCACGGAAACCCTAATATGATAGGACATGATGGAGAAGTAATAACCTGAAACGTCATCTCCTCCCTATGGGAGGCCCCAATGGAGATCGTAATAGGGACAGTTTCGTGGGTTATAAGCGGTTGTGTGAGTGGTCTACCATCAATAGCCTCTACAGCTAGCGGCGTAGGTCTCTCCCTGACCGGTATCTCATTACCCCTAATAAACTGTACATCAATAAAATTTCCAGCAGCACCTGAGTCCATTAGGGCACTGCAAGAAAACTTCTTGTTATCAATGGAAATAGATACCTCAAGGAGGAATCTACTTTTGTTTTTGTTAGAGGACAACTCCATCACACCTAAGATCTGTCCCCTTAAGGTTCTTAGGTGCGGAAGTTTTCCGGACGCACTGGACAATTAGTTATCATATGTCCCTTTCTACCGCAATATAGGCATAACCCCTCCCTTCTCCTATACTGTTTTTCGGCCTCTGACAGTCTAGTGACCCCCAACTGCATAGGTTCGGGTTCGGACTGTACAGGGAGGTTAGACAAAACAGGTTTAGAGAATTGAGGTGCTAGGGACATAGCCGTACGTCTGGTCTTGCTTCTGGTGACTTCTCTGAGTCTTAACCTATTATCAATATGCATGACAAACGTAATAAATTCGTTAAGACTCTTAGGTAATTCTTTAGCGGCTATCTCATCTAGTATAGTCTCTGAGAGACCCTTTTTGAATGCTGAGATTAACCCATTGTTAGTCCAGTCTACCTCGGAAGCTAAGGTACGGAATTCAATAGCATAATCCGAGATAGACCGGTTACCTTGTCTGATGTGCATTAGGGCAGTGGAGGCGTCATCCTCTCTACCCAATGGCTCAAACGTGAGCTTGAATTCGGCAAGGAATTCCTGGTAATTATGAGCTATGCTCCGATTACTCTCCCACAACGGATTAGCCCAGGCAAGGGCCTTGCCCTTTAATTGATTCATTAGATAACCAATTCTTGCTCTGTCCGTGGGGAATGACCCTGGTGAGGCCTCAAAATGGTACTCCACCTGATTAAGAAAACCCCTGCATTCCTGGATATTGCCATCAAACTGTAGGGATGGTGATAAGGAGATGCAAGGAGTCCTATTAACAGTGGGTGGAGGTACACAGGGTAGAGGTGCTATAGGAGGAGACGCTGCAGGCTGCAGATGCTCCGTTCTAGCGAGAAGCGTACTTAAAGCCTGAGTGAATTGATCCATGCGGTGATCATTCTCCTCTAATTTCCTCTCGCAAGCAGCTATGTGCTGACACAGTTCTACAGGATCTATGGCCCTGTCGTAATGTCAGGATTACTGTTTGATCCAGCACGTAGAACTGTACAGCACGGATGACAAATAAGTAACGTATTACCGGTCCTTAGAATGGCCGGATTTAACGTACAAAGAATAGTCAAAAATACTAGCCGAGGTCAGGGAACACAGAAAGGGACACAGCGATGAGGAAAGCCAGGAGTCAGGATACCAGAATATAGAGAAGTCAATAAACAAAGCCAAAGTTAAAAACCAGGTAGAAAACTATAAACAGGAACGCGCTCTCAGACAACCACAAGGGAAACCACGACAGGGCACTGAGCAGGCTGAGAACTGGGCCTAAATACCCCTCCTTTAGTTCTGATAGGCTGTAACCGGCCTTTGACCCCAAAGTCAGTTACCAGGTTTCATTTGCATAATTGCTGCTCAGCATTAACCCTTCTGTGGATTAGGTTGCTGCTCGGCACAACTTTTCCTGTGTGGACAGTAAATGTCATTAATCACTTTTCTCTAAGCGGATGAATACATGACACCAGGTTTCATTTGCACAATTGCTGCTCAGCATTAACCCTTCTGTGGATTAGGTTGCTGCTCGGCACAACTTTTCCTGTGTGGACAGTAAATGTCATTAACCACATTTCTATAAGCGGATGAATATGTGACACTCTTTGAACTAGTTTGTCCTGCAATTTGGACGTCACGTCCGTTCTCTACCTGTGCTGGAGGGTATCAGGGCACTCTCCTCTCATGCAGTTGCAGCATCATGGGTTTCCATGGCAATGGTTTCTGCTGACACTTTTTGTAAGCTAGCATTTAAACCTCTTTGGACACGTTTGTCTAGCATTTCATACTGTTCGTTAAAACAGTCTATGATGCACAATTTGTTACTCAAGTACTTAACTCAGTTCATTCTTCTATCTATGTTGAATTATTCTGATTATTTGATTGGTTATTCTGTCCCTCCCTTTGTAAGCTTGGGTAATCCCCATGTGTATATGCTGCCATGATTAGTCAGGAAAGTGGAAAATGTATTCATACTTACCGTAATTTTCTTTTCCTGGCTATTATTCATGGCAGCATATACTTCCCACCCATTAATGTCTCTATTTATGTACTGTAGAGCTTGTAAACTGACTGAGGACCTTAGGGATGGAGCCTCCTTTTAAAACCTTGGTGGTTTTCCAAATAATACAAAACACAAGATCCAGCGCACTCACCTATCCACTAAATGGCAACTTCAATGTTGAAAGATTTTATTAGTTTTTTTAAAAACACCTAATCTAGGCAAAAATAATGGGGGTTTAGTTACATTATATGATCATACATTGCATAAGCCTGCCACAACATCAATGTACCCCATCTTTGGCAGGTCCTACACTAACAGCCTAATGTCTGCTCTTATGAGATTAACCACTTACTTGAGGAAAAAAATTCCATCTGGGGCTCTCTGCAGTACAAGGCTAAATAGGGCCCTGGGATGAGGCACCTGTGACAGGGAGGGGTGCAAAACCAAGGAGTTGGCTAGACTCCCAAATATATATAAAACAAGAGGGGGTTGGCTGCACTCACCTTAACATGCATAAATGGGGGTGCTGCTGGGGGCCAAATAATACAATACACAAGATCCAGCGCACTCACCTATCCACTAAACAGCAACTTCAATGTTGAAAGATTGTATTTGTTTTTTTAAAAACACCTAATCTAGGCAAAAATAATGGGGGTTTAGTTACATTATATGATCATACATTGCATAAGCCTGCCACAACGTCAATGTACCCCATCTTTGGCAGGTCCTACACTAACAGCCTAATGTCTGCTCTTATGAGATTAACCTACTTGGGGAAAGAAATTCCATCTGGGGCTCTCTGCAGTACAAGGCTAAATAGGGCCCTGGGATGAGGCACCTGTGACAGGGAGGGGTGCAAAACCAAGGAGTTGGCTAGACTCCCAAATATATATATATAAACCTGCAAATGGGTTAGAAAATTCCCCATTTGCTGTAAGATAGGATAGAGCTCTGGAAAACTGCTCTATGGTTTTGATGGAGATCATAGTTACTTTTGAAAAGGAAAATGTAGTATGTGAAACAAAAGAGATTGAAGAATTGTAAAAAACAGTAAAGAGATGTCAATGTTTCAAAAGAAAGAAAAATCCTGTATTAGAGGATTAAAAAACTATTGAGAAGAGGGCAAAAAACAAAAATAAAAAGTACAAAAGAGATTCTCATGACAAATCAAATGTTTTCTAAATCAAAAACAGAGCCAACAGGAATGTTATGAAAAAAGATAGTGTACGACTGGTAAATTATGACCAGAGGACATATATTTACTAGAAATTTACCAAACGTTAAGGGTAGATCACAGAAAGGGACGGTGTGCTAAATAAAAAAAAAAAAACACCCTCTCTGCTTTCTTATGCAAAATCTACTGATTTTAATAAGAGAAGAGTTTACTACTCCGATAAATCATCAAACTAACCAACCTAATACTAGCAACAGTTCGACATTCTGCAACTCACCTAAACAGACCAAAATAGGGGATAAATAGAAACATAGAATGTGACGGCAGATAAGAACCATTCGGCCCATCTAGTCTGCACAATTTTCTAAATACTTTCATTTAGTCCCTGGCCTTATCTTATATTTAGGATAGCCTTATGCCTATCCCACACATGCTTAAACTCCCTCACTGTGTTAACCTCTACCACTTCAGCAGGAAGGTTATTCCATGCATCCACTACCCTCTCAGTAATACTTCCTGATATTATTTTTAAATCTTTGCCCCTCTAATTTAAGACTATGTCCTCTTGTTGTGGTTGAAGGATAGAATATCCATTTTACTATCTATCCTAGCTGTTCATATAAAGGGTAAATTTGAACTTGAAATGGCGGCTTGTTATTTCATTTTTCGAAACCTTACTGATTGCGAAATATGTTCTTATTATTGTTCAAATTTTGGTATTTGTAACATCTATTTTTTATCAAATATACTTGTGTTATATAACATAAGATATAACAAGAAACAGCTGCTTATATCTTGTGAAAAACAACTGTTATGTAATTGTCACTCCCATATACTCATATTTCCCCCCTCCCTTTTTGCTATGAAAAGATATGTATAAATATAATTTGCAGTCAATAAAAGTAGTTAGTTTTAACACGTTTCTGTCTTCATAACTAATTCCCGCAGCTCCGAGAGGGAGGGGGGTCTGCATCCATCAACCAGAGGGTCTTTGTCCCGTGTATAGCTGATTTTTCCCCAACAAGTTGGTATTAGAAGTGGGATTCAATTAGAGACGGAAAAAAAAGGTAAGAGAATCGTGTATTTCTGACATTCATTCTTTTCCTTTTTTTCTCCCATTCTCCACAAATTGCATTCTTTATTTAAAGTGGATTTTTACTGCATAGTCTAAGGTAAACTTCATAGTTGTTGTCTTTGGGAGACAGTCCCTCCTTTGGTAGGAGGTTAGCCTTTGGAAGGCTATAAAAAAAGTAATCAAGCCTTTGGGAGGCTAAAATGTAATATTGCCTTTGGTAGGCTAAAAGGTTAAAAAAGTTAAAAGGGAATTATTTTAACCCTGTACTTGATGGATAGCTGATTTTTCCTCAACAGTGGTAGTTTTTCTTCTTTTAAATATAGTCTCCTCCTTTACTGGGTTGATTCCCTTTATGTATTTAAATGTTTATATCATATCCCCCCTGTCTTGTCTTTCCTCCAAGCTATACATGTTAAGATCCTTTAACCTTTCCTTGTAAGTTTCATCCTGTAATCCATCAACCAGTTTAGTAGCCCTTCTCTGAACTCTTACCAAAGTATCAATATCCTTCTGGAGATACGGTCTCCAGCACATCGTACAATACTCCAAGTGAGGTCTCACCAGTGTTCTGTACAATGGCATGAGCACTTCCCTCTCTCTCCTGCTAATACCTCTCCCTAGACAACCAAGCATTCTGCTAGCATTTCCTGCTGCTCTATTACATTGTCTGCCTACCTTTAAGTCATCAGAAATAATCACCCCTAAATCCCTTTCCTCAGATATTGAAGTTAGGACTCTATCAAATATTCTGTACTCTGCTCTTGTGTTTTTACATCCAATATGCATTATCTTGCACTTATGCACATTAAATGTCAACTGCCACAGCTCTGACCATTTTTCTAGTTTATCTTAATCATTTACCATTTGTCTTTTACCTCCAGACGTTCGATGACCATATTCCGCTGCCTGTGTTCAGGAGACAAAATGCAGCAATGCACTGGACCACGTGCGTTCTGTTATACGAATGGTGGCCACTTAGGGAAAGCACTTAAGCTAATGTGTCAAGTTGTTAATTTGTGGTTAACAGCCAGGGGAGGTCGGTGTTCTAAGGCATAACAAGGGGGACCACAAACCAGTCATTCAGGAGATGAACAAGGGGGTACGGACAAAAGAACACAAGGTAATGGATTCGGCTACATGGGTGTCCCTAGAAGTCAACTGATTAGTGTCCACAGAAATTGTACAGATTTGGGTTAATGCAAAAAGCAAGCAAATATAGCAATGGATAAGCTCAAAGAAAAGGGATTCTCTGAGGATCACCTGAAGAGAGCGTTTTAGAGAGTTTTAAATATGGATGGTGGTGTTTTATTGCAAGATAAGGTAAAGAAGAATTCAAATAAAAATAATGTGGGATTATTCCAACACAGCTTCAATACTCAATTGAATTGTAAAGCCAGTTATAGAAATAAAATGTTAAATAGGCACTGCCCTTACTATTGGAAGAGGTCAGGTTTTTGAAGCACTTAAATAACATCAAGAAAAATCTAGAATGCCACTCTGTGCCGAACCATTGCAATAAATGCCCTGCTTTTAGTTTTAATAACCTTTCGTTATTCGTCATAGAACAGGTTACATTGGACAACAGAGGTGGGGATTTGATGATGAAGCGGAGGAGAAGGGAGCGCTTTTGAAAACAAACTACAGACATTGCAAACTAAGGGTTTGAATGATGATTTTGATTTAGTTTGTTTTCTGTGATTACTTTTTTTTTTCCTCCCTCCAAAGTGCAATCATCAGGAATCTGGTACAGCTGCCCCTCCTAACCCAGGATTGACATAAAGTGACCTGGGAGGAGGTGTTTTGAGCTACTTATAGTTGACTGTGGATTATTTTGGATTATTTTTTGCTGCAGTGACTAAAGAACCTTTTGCCCTGGATGAAGTCTTGTTCTCCAGACACGTAGGACTGTTTGTAGTCATTGATTTATTTTATTGTATACCAGAGGACTCTATTTTTCCCTAGCACTAGATCTACGAAGGTGGATTACCTCATTCTTCGTCAGCACTTTATTAATGGAATTGGTCTCCTACACGTCATGGTTAATATTGATGGGCTTGACAATTTTTGTCCTCTTATAAGTGTTTTTAACCATTAAATTGTGTGTTATTTTTGATGTATTGCACCATAGTTCTTTATGCTTTCTTGCACTTGAATTAAGAAAAGAAGATATTGCTGGTGGAATTTTTAAAGTTTCTACTTATATCATTACACTGTGAGTTTAACCAGTATATTAAAAACCATTGGAGCTTTTACTGTACTACTCTATGCATGTCATTTTTTCACAGCTGTAAATTTTTTGTGTTGATAACTTCTAGGAACCCTGTCTAAACTCTGGACCCTAGGTACCTGCCTATATTCACATTATAATTAATCCTGCTCTCTCCGAAGGTCATTATTGATGCAAATCAAATACACAATAATTACTGTAGCAGAATAGTAGCATTAGCCACAGTATTTCCGCTGGCAGACAGAATGAAGCAGGTACAAAGTAGGCAAAATCCAGGTAGCATAGTTACAATCCCTTTCTCCCAAGAACTAGACGACACATAGCTTGGAGGTCAACTGAGATTTTAATAACAGGTCACAGTATTTATGTGATTACAAATGCTGCTGTTTCAGAGAAATAATTACATGATTAACAGGCACAGGAAAAAGTAAAATTTTACATTAAATTCACTAGCTTTGGCAATTCACCACATATTTTACAGAATGACCCCTCATTAGATTGCAGAGATCGATCGGTACAATATACCGAAGTACTGCTCTGATCCCTGCAGAAACAACCGAACGCGGCTCGCAATAGACCTTCACACGAACTGGGTTTTAGCAGAGAAAACTCATGAATGGGTTTATTTTCCCGAAGGAGAGAGTTTCCCGACCGCTATGGAAGTCCAGCAGTGTTTGGAAATCAAGTACTCGATTTTGGTTCCAGGCACTCGACGACCAAACACCCCTGAACTCTAACAAAACAGAGATGGCCGCCGCCACATGTTCTGTACACGAACGGTGGCCACACACAGAACGCTCATTAACGGATGGATACAATGTTTCGGCTTTACTAACAAGCGGCACACGACCTTCTGGGGTGGTCTCCCATTCGGTCTTTTGTTCGTTTCACGTGTTAGCAGTATTCGTGTGCTATAACACACGAATGCATAGGAACATTAGGTGATAATCTTTGCATACAGATACATTTAACAGGGGTTAAGTTTCTCACGAATAGAGACACAATGGAAACAAACATCAGGCATATATATACGTAATACTCTGTAAGTGGCTAGGTTTGCCACAATGATCCCCCAGAATCAAGCCGGCATACACAGTCTGATCCAACGCTTCGGCTTGGGGATGTCCGGAGGAGTACCCACAGATCACTTTTCAAGTTCAGGTTGTCTGTATAACCCGTCGGCGTTGCCATTTAGCTTTCCCGGGCGGTAGTGGATGGTAAAGTCAAAAGGCTGCAGCGCCAAACTCCAGCGCAGCAGCCTGGCATTGTCTCCTGATACCTGGTTCAGCCACACCAACGGGTTGTGATCTGTGAGTAGCGAGAATGGTTGTCCGTACAAATATGGTTGCAGCTTCTTGAGGGCCCACACCACGGCAAGGCATTCCTTTTCGATGGCAGCGTAGCTTACTTCTAGGGGCAAAAGTTTTCTGCTTAAGTAAGCTACGGGATGCTCGCCGCCATCCGCTCCGACTTGGCTCAGTACTGCTCCCAATCCAAACATAGAAGCATCTGTATGGACGTGAAAGCGTTTAGTTGGATCAGGAGCAGCAAGTACAGGTGCAAGTACAGGTGCGTTAGCAAGAGCAGTTTTTAGTTGATGGAATGCCCGTTCACACTCTGGGGCCCATACTACTAACTTAGGGAGGTTTTTGAGGGTTAAATCAGTTATAATCAGTCAATTATTTATATTCATTTTCAGTTTCTAGCCTGTGGAGCTCTGTATGGCCTTGTGAATGAGTATTAATTTGTGTGTATTGTTAAGTTGCATTTTTATTGTTGTGTAATCTTACGAATGTAAACTCTTGTTGTTGTACTCCTGTGAGCTTGTTAATTATCCATCATTACCAATTTCAGCATTTACAATATTGACCTAACTGTATTTGGTAATTGCCAATGTTCCAATCCAATTTAAATAGTGGCCAAGACTGTCATAAAAAGGATACAAAACCATTTTTACTGAATCTTTCAGAGACACAATATTTTACATTTCATATTCTGTAATTTTCTGACCAGGTTACTTCACTTTTTCTACTCTACACTGGTTTCAAGTTAAAGGGACACTATAGTCTCCAGAACAACTACAGCCTATTGAATTTGTTCTTGTGAGTAGAATCATTACCTTCAGGCTATTTGCTGTAAACACTGTCTTTTCAGAGAAAATGCAGTGTTTACATTACAGCGTAGTGATAACTTTACTGGCCACTCCCCAGATGGCTGTTAGAGATCCTTCCTGGGTCATGGCTGCCTAAAATGCATCCAAACATTCAATATCTCCTCCCTCTGCATGCAGACACTGAACTTTCCTCATAGAGATTAATTGATTCAATTAAGGAGATGAGGAGATGCCGATTGGCCAGGGCTATGTTTGAATCATGCTGGCTCTGCCCCTGATCTGCCTCTTTGTCAGTCTCAGCCAATCCTATGGGGAATCATTGTGATTGGATCAGACTACCACTTCTGATGATGTCAGCAGACAGTTTGTTTTTCTGAGGCAAACAGCATGCAGAGTTACAGCTTCTGGCTTGAATACAGTAAGATTTTGTTATATTTATGGAGGCATGAGGGGCCCAGGATGGCTAGATGGTGGTTTTAACACTATAGGGTCAGGAATACATGTTTGTGTTCCTGACCCTATAGTGATCCTGTAAAGTTCTTGAAAAAGTATACAGTATTAAAAACACTATATTTGAATTGTACCTTTGATTCATTTGCTGTGAAATGCATTTGTATACTTAAGATGTGGATCTTCGAGGCTCAGTGCAGGCGAATAAATTATTGCTTTTGTTAGTGGGACTGAGAATAAGCTTTTTGGGTAAATTGCATTTTTTAGGTAGCTTGCATAGCTGTACATTACCAACAAACCCTTGCTATGTGGGGGATTATGCAGCATGAACAGTTTTCTCTGGAAGAAGCTACATATTTTGTTGCTTGCCATGCTCTTTGTCTACACAAACACATGCAAGATTGGGAACATGTACATATCTAGTCACTTACAAACATCTAATTAGTTGCATGCACACAATTATTCGTACATAACTTACCACACATCATCCGAATTAGCAAAGCAATCACACACTACCGCACATTAATAGACACAATCTATTATATACCATGCACACATACGCACACTAAAATGCGTGCAGACACATGCAATGACATATCCATAGGCTCACACTAACACACATCCACAAACGCACTAACATGTTATAATTTTAATTCTCTTTCCCTTACTTTTCTTGAGAAGGAGGATTAGTGCCTCTGTGCTGTCCCTGTTGTTTAATAATGGGGGGTCAGGTAAGCTATGCTTTGTGCAGTTTAAGCTTCCCTTCTGCTCAGTTTGCAGAATATCAGATGAGCTGTAGGTTGAAACCTTCCGCCTTTCTCAGTGCTTATTTGTGATGTGCACAGTTGCTAACAGGTACTCCGCTCCTACCACACAGCCTGCACTGCTCTCTCTGGTTGACACTGGGCAGCTAACGGTTAACTCCTAACCAGCTCCCAGAGATTTTATAGTGAGAGCTGTTCAATCTCCGCTCCAATGTTGGAGGGTTTTCTCAAAGCATGGGGTCTAGGGTTGATGCCTAGTTTCCCCTTTGAAAGGGCCCCATTGTGTATCTACATGTTTTATTAATTTAGTTATCCACAAACATTTATTTATTTATAAAATATTTTACCAGGATGGATACATTGAGATTTCTCTCGTTTTCAAGTATGTCCTGTATGTCGTTTTCAAGTATGAGCATAGGATGTCCCTGCAGGCTTTTAAATGTAAACCATGCCTTTCAGAGAAAAGGCCTAAGGACACCCAGTGGCAGTCACTCAAATGGCCACTAGAGGTGCTTCCTGGCTCAGTGCTGCACAGTGTGCAGCACCTACGTTCAACGTCTCCACACGCGGCATGGAGGCACTGGATTGGCTAAGATCATCAAGTTTGATATTAGACAAAGGATGGAGCGTGGGGGATGACAGCTGAGAGGAGACCCACAAGGCACATGAAAAAGGTGAGTAAATCCCCTTTTTAACACGGCACTGGGGGGTACAATCACCTAAATGGCTTTTTAGATCTATGGTATCAGGAATACTTGTTTGTACTCCTGACACTATAGTGTTTGCTCAAGTCACTAAATATTGATTTGTGATGTGGTAACAAAAAAAGATGTCAACGTTAGGGCAAGGTACAAAAATGGAAAAATTTTTTTTAGCTGTGCTGGTCAAACATGTCTATATTAGTCTATACAGTTAGCTTAGTTTTTAGTTGGTCATATTATGGACTATGATTGGTTCTTTTGAACCAATAATAATTTGGCGTTTTCTTCAAAAGAAAATTGTATCGACTGATGTTGACTTCTTAGATTACCGTTAGATCTATGAAACCTTTCTTTTTCTTCCAAAACTCACAATTCTTCCATGTTGATATTTCAGTATAAATATTGTGCTTGGAACACAATACAATACTGAACATTCCCCACGGTGATAAATTTGCCAATAAATCTGGACTCATGACTTCAAAGGCTTCTGGGTCACAACAGCTATTCTATTGCCTCACTGCTCTCGTTAATATACTATATTTCTTGTGTAGTGACTGCATTAAACCTCACAGAGCCAACTGGCAGAATTTTTTTTTACAGCTTTGACATTAATGTTTAGCTTTGGCATTTATGCGCATCTGCCCTTTAGAAAAGCATTTGTGCCACAGTTTGATCTGTATATAGGAATTTGGAGCCAGGAGTAAAACAAAATAAAATAAAATGTTTGAATTAATTTAATATGTATTGAGTTTTGTAGGAAATAAACTAAAAATGAATATTTCTATTAGCATTTTTACAGGCCTTTTTACATTAAGTATGAACATATTTTATAACAGGATTATCGTGGAGAGAAATAACACGTCTTGAAGTAAATGAGCCTGGAAAATAAGAGTACATAATAGTAATGTGACTACTAATAATAACACTGTATGTTTGACACAGTGTTAATGGAATTCAGATCAAAAGCAGAGATTTAGGCAATGACAATATGAAAAGAAAAAATATTTCTGAGCTTTTCAGGCGGCTGTATAATGTAAATTAAGAACTTACTGGGTAAATCTTACTTAATTGGGAGGAGTAAAGGATTCGATTTATCTGAAGATAACAATAGTTGGAACAATTAATTACTTAATCTTGGAAAAAGCTAGATCCTATTATCAAGATGTTTCTTCTTAAAGTATTTATTAGGCTTGTTCATTAGGATTCAAACCACTTGCGATTTGTCCAAATTTAGGTAATTGACGATTATGATCCTGAACTTCGAAACACGATATAGGGGAATCACAAAGCAAATTAAATGGACAATTGACAAACGGTTTCATTTGTTTTGTGATTTAGTGTTCTGTCCGTGGCGACAAAAAAAAAAGAAGGGAATTGATGATTGGGACAGCCACTAAATTTTGATTTTATTCTCAGATAAAGTGACGAGGGACAAAAGGAGCAGAAAAAAACTATCCCATATTTATGTTATATTTCATTTTTAACATATAAATATAGAATTTTTAAAAGAGGGACAAAAGGAGCAGAAAAAATGATTCCATATTTTATGTTATATTTCATTTATAACATATAAATATATAAATTTTCAACTCTATTGGTTACTTCTCATCTGATCTGCACTAAATGCACTTATTAGTGTACTGCAAAATATATACATAACATTTCACAGAGCTCCACAGCAAGAATACTCACAGTAATGTGTATTTAAACCACAAACATTCTGTTTACAAAGTAGTCATTTCCTTCAAAAGCATTTTATGAAAATGTTTAATGGAAATAAAACATTTAAAAAAAAAAACAAATTATTATTGATTTATTTATTTTAAAGGAACAATATAGGGTCAGGAACAAAACATGTATTCCTGACCCTATAGTGTTTAACCCACTATTTAGGCTTGCATCCCCCCTGGCTCCCTTAAAAGGGGTTAAAACTCACCTTTATTCCAGCGCCATGCGGGTCCGCCGGTGGCAGGATGGGGACGGGCCAAACAGTTTTGTCCAATCAGCACCTCCTCATCAGGGGCGGGCTGGGCCGGGGGGCAGGGAGGCAATTGCCCCCCAGGCCGCCCTAAATTCCTGTAAGGCCGGCCGCGGCGGGCCGGCCCTTTAAATACTGCAGCCGCCTGAGCGCTCTGTTAAGAGCCTCAGGCGGCTGCCCCTCCCCTCCCCTGTAGCGTGGCCGAGCTGCACTCCGGTCCGCGGTGGCCGGCCAGCCGGCCGGAGTGATAGGAGGGTGCACACTGAGTGTGCACTTCCTGTCAGTCCGGCCGGTTACAGGAAACAGAAACTCCTGTTCCGCGCGGAGTTTCTGTTTCCTGTTACCGACCGGACTGACAGGAAGTGCACAGTGAGTGTGCACCTTCCCATCACTCCGGCCGGCGGGCCACCGCGGACCGGAGTGCAGCTCGGCCACGCTACAGGGGAGGGGGTAAGAAGAGAGGGAGGAGGGAGGGGTAAAAAGAGGGGGGGGGAATAAGAAGGAGGAGGGGAATAAGAAGGGGGGATAAGAAGAGGGGAGGGGAATAAGAAGAGGGGAGGGGAGGGGGAACAAGAAGAGGAGAGGGGTGACAAAAAGGGAACAAGAAGAGGGGAGGGAAGGCACAGGAGGGGGATAAAAAGGGGAATAAGAAGAGGGAGGGGAACAAGAAGAGGAGGGGGGAATAAGAAGCGAGGGAGGGGGAGCAAGAAGAGGGAGGGGGGAGGCGAAGGAGGAGGATAAGAAAAGAGGGGTAAGAAGAAGCCAGCCAGTGAGTAAGAAAAGATGGGGAGTAAGAAGAAGAAGAGGAGGGAGCAAGAAGAAGAGAGGAGCAAGAAAAGAGGGGGGAGGCAAGAAGAAGAAGAGGGGAGTAAGAAGAGGAGAGGGGAATAAGAAAAGGGGAGGGCGGGAGGAAGCTGGGAGGAGATAAGAAAGAGGGGGGTGCGGGAGAAGAAGAAGAAGGGGTGAGTAAGAAAAAGAGGGGGAGTAAGAAGAAGAAGAGTGGGGAGTAAGAAGAAGAAGAGGGGGGGTAAGAAGAAGGTAAGTGAGTATGAAGAAATGGGGGGAGTAAGAAGAAGAAGGGGGAGGAAGAGGAAGAAGAAGAAGGGGGGTAAGAAGAAGAAGGGGGAGCAATAAGAAGAAGGGGGTTAAGAAGAACAGGTGGGGTAGTAAGACGACCAAGGGGGGAAGTATGAAGAACACAGGGAGGAGGGGGGTAAGACGAACACAGGGGGTGTGAGGAGAACACATAGAGGGAGGAGTGAGAAGAGCACAGGGAGGGTGGGTGAGTGTGAGAAGAGACCGCTAGGGGAGGGTGGGGAGAGGAGAGACCACTAAAGGTGCAGGGGAGAGCTCTACGGGACAGAAGGGGCAGCTCTATAGGACAGGGGCCAAGACAGGGAGCTCTTTCACACTACGCGCGCGCACACACACACAATGCATCCCTATACATACACAGAAACACAACATGCTTCCCTTACACACAGAGAAACACACAATGCATCCATTACACACACACACACAATGCAACCCTTACACACAAAGACAATGCATCCTTTGCACACATACACAGAAACAGACAATGCAAACCCGTACACACATATGCAAACACACACACTTCTTTTCTTACATACACACAGAAACACAATGCATCTCTTACACTCAATGCACACACATACAGACACACACCTTGCATCCCTTATGCATACAAACACAGATTCACACAATGCATCCCTTACACACAACCAGAAACACATAATACATCCCTTATACACAAATACACACTGCTTCCACTACACACAAAACACACATCACCTGCACAAACTGGTAACCCTATACACTACATACCATAAGCACACATATTAGATCCTCTACAATAACACATAACACATCCCCTACACACTCCACTCCCTGTGAGCGAACTCATGGGTGGGTGGAACTTATGAGTGGGCCTTATGGGCATACTCACCGTCAGGCCCTGGGGCCCAGACCTTGAGCTGTGTAAGGGGCCCCAAAAAATGGAGCTGCTTCCAATTCTCCCAGAACATTGAATTTTGTGACCACAGCTGCAAACAGCCTCCAGAGATCCTGTTCTACACCAGACCAGTGGAGCCAAACTGCAGCCCATCATCATCCTCATCTGCTTGTAAGTAGGCAATCTAGTATATTATTAGTGACACTAATCTATAATGTACCTCACATTAAAGGGACACTATAGCTTAATGAAGTGGTTCTGGTGTCTATAGCTGGTCCCTGCAGGCTTTTTAATGTAAACACACACTGTGTGCAGCACTGGCGTTAGTTCATATGGGTGGGGCATTGTGATGTCACATGGGGGGGCAGCAAATTTTTATTTTGTCTAGGGCGGCAAAAATCCTTGCACCGGCACTGATCCTGGGCAGGTGCACCAGTCTACTGGTGACCCACAGGAGGGGAGTGCACTGATTGCACTGCACTCTCCTCCTGTCCAGCCCCATCTTTACCGCAGTGCAAGTGCCCTCTGCCCCTAATTTACAGTGGCTCACACTCACAACAAGCAGTGCCTGGAGCCGTGAAGGAGCGGGTATGGCAAAGAGCTACTGATTAGCATAACATCAATATCCGTTATAAAACCAGGAAAAGGTGGGCATGGATGGTGAACTGATTTGGTGGTGCAATGGGCCACTTGACTGGTTTTGCCCACCAGGCTGAAGGCTGCCAGCCCTCCCCTGCTCCTCATAGAGATGCATTGAATCAATGCATCTCTATGAGGAAATTTCAGCATCTCCATGCAGAGCGTGGAGACGCTGAATGGCAGTGCTGCCTACTGTGCTGCACTTCCCCAGGAAGGACCTTCAGTGGCCATCTGAGGAAAAAAATCAGACAAAAAGAATAAACCCGAAGCTGAAAAAGTAATCACCCATGGAGGGCACCTCGCAGACTGAGTTCCGCAGGGCAGGAAGGCTTATAAAGCATTGCCCCACCCTGCAATTTAAGCCAACCAATCAGAGTGCACTGACAAGTAAATGAAGAGACTGACAGCTAAGTCTCTACATTTACCTGTCACAGCACTCTGATTGGTTAGCTTGAAATACACCAATCAGAGTGCTCTGTGTCATTTTACACAGTGTGGGAAAGTTCTTTGGAATTTTGCCACGCTGTGTAATTTGACTCATAACTCTCTGATTGGTCCCCCCCATTGGTATTTAGGCCCCCCCCCCTTATTATAATTTAGGGCACCCCACCCGCCGCTCAGGGGTGGGGGCCAGGGGTGAAGGACAATAGGTCCCCCAATTATTTTAATTTAGGGCCCCCACCTGCCGCTCAGAGCATGGGTGGGTGCTTGGGAGGGGGGGACACTTCTTTTTTTTTAGTTTACTAGACATACCCCTACTCGCGATAGCGAGTAAGGGCAGAATTTACTAATACTAAGTAATCCTTACCTAGTATTAGTAAATTTGACTGAAAGACCAAGTTATGTCTTTCAGCCTTTTGGTAGATAGCTCCCTAATACTGTGGGAATTAGGGAGTTATCTACTAAGCGGCCGCAAGAGAACATATCCGAAGTCCCGAACTGAACCGAAGTGCTGAAGTCCCGAATTTCTGAATGCCGAACCGAACCAAATATTTTGCCCATGCACATCCCTATTGATAACTAGCATCTCTGTTGCCTAGTCCATCCCGGATACCTCCGTGATACAGGTCTCGGTGTGTCTGTGGGATTTTGTCATGTCCACTGTGAGTCTGTCGGTTTCTTTATAGACTGAGCTTGAGAAACTCCCTAATGCTCCAGATCTTGCTGATCACTGTCACCCTTACCGTGTGTGAAAAACTATAAAAAAAAACTATATAAAAAAACAAGTAAGAACTAGAACAAAAAAAGACACATTTTTAATGGGTGTTTGCATTTAGCACTTTATTATTACTGTGGTTTGGGTACTATAAATTGGTTATGCACTATGCTATGCACTTTCTTTCTGTCAAGATATTTTGATGTACTGATGCATGAATAAACGCTGCTCTGCTCTTACTTCAAGGCTACCCGCTTATGCCTCCAATTTCCTATTTTATATAACAACTCTACTCTTGAGACTGGACTGCAACCCAGCACCTTTTCCTTTTCATTCAGGATAGGGGCAGCATACACAGCTTCTAGTGCTGACACCTTAGTGCATATTATCAAGATACTGGGGAGATGGAAATCCTCACTCTGTAACACATGCATCCCC